TTCATCCAAATGGGTAGGAGAGTCACAAGAGACAGGTAGAGATGCAGTGTGGTGTGGAAAGGCAGCAGTGGCAGCAGTGGCAGCAGTGGCAAAACGGACAGTCCCACATTCACATGTGTGGCTAAAAATCAGGAGGGATACCTTGGGAGCAAGCAATGTCAGCCCCAGGCCAGGCTGCACAGCCCAGGGTGCCAGTACCAGAAAGATAAATCTCAATTGCCTCTGGCTGTAAAAACTGGGGGGCGGGGATGGGCAATGGAAGAACCTGCCAGACTTTCATTGTTTAAAGGGCTTGCATGGACTTAGAATGTACGCAAACCCACCCACTCTGGGTTTCACCAACAGGGCAGCAGCTGGAGGGGCACCAGTTGCATATGGGAAGTGTGTGAAAATGACTAGAAATAGGGCGAGTGCCAGGCAAATCTCCAGGAGCCAGATAGCTACACTGTCCCCTCCGCAAACCCTCCCCACACACACAGAGCTACACAGTGGTAAAGCGGGTCACCCCACCCTGGTGAATACCTAAGGCTTTGCCCTACACAACTTAACAGGTACACTAAGACAGGGAGTCGAAACAGCTCTACCTAATACACAGAAACAAACACAGGGAGGCTCCCAAATTGAGAAGACAAAGAAATTTGGCCTAAATGAAAGAACAGAACAAAACCCGAGAAAAAAACTAAATAAAACAGAAGTAGCCAACCTATCAGGTGCAGAGTTCAAAACACTGGGGATCAGGATGTTCAGAGAACTCAATGAGTATGGAAAAAACATAAAGGAAGAAAAGAAGTTTAGTCTAAGTACAATAAAGAAAAATCTATAGGGAACCGACAGTGAAGGGAAGGAAGCCAGGATTCAAATAAAAAATGTGGAACAAAAGGAAGAAATAAATATTCAACCAGAATAGAAAGAAACAAGAATTCAAAAAAATAATGAGTAGAGACTTAGGAACCTCTAGAACAATTTTAAACATAACAACATCTGAATCATAGGGGTGCCAGAAGAAGAGGGAGAGAAAAAAATTGAAAACTTATTTGAAAAAATAATGAAAGAAAACTTTCCTAATCTGGTGAAGGAAATAGACATATAAGTCCAGGAGACACAGAGAATCCCAAACAAAATGGACCAAAAGAGGACCACATGAAGACATATCATAATTAAAGTGCCAAAGTTTAAAGATAAACAGAGAATCTGAAAAGCAGCAAGAAAAAAGCAGAGAGTTATCTACAAAGGAGTTCCCCTAAGACAGTCAGCTGATTTCTCAAAAGAAATTTTGCAAGTTAGAAGGGATTGGCAAGAAGTATTCAAAGTGATGAAAGGCAAGGGCCTGCAACCTAAATTACTCTATCCAGCAAAGCTATCATTTACAATGGAAGGGCAGATAAAGTGCTTCCCAGAGAAGGTAAAGCTAAAAGAGTTCATGTCACCAAGCTATTACTGCTTGAAATGTTAATAGGACTTATTTAAGAAAAAGAAGACCAAAACCATGAACATTAAAAAGGCAACAAATTTACCACTATCAACAACTGAATCTATTTAAAAAAAAAAAAAAAAAAAGCTAAGCAAACAACCAGAACAGAAACGGAATCATATGTATGGATATGTATGGAGATCGTTTGGAGGGTTATCATTTGGGACAGGGGAGGAGGTGAATGGGGAAAATAGTGCAGGGATTAAGGAGCATTTGCCAATGATACCTCAGACAAAGGTTTGATCTCTAAAATATGTAAAGAATTCACGTTACTCAACTCCAGGAAGACAAACAATCCAATTAAAAAATGGTCAATGGACACTGAACAGACACTTCTCCAAGGAGGACATACAGGGGGTCCAGAGACATATGAAAGAATGCTCATCATCACCAGCCATCAGAGAAATGCAAATTAAAGCCACAGTGAGATACCACTTCACACCAGTCAGAATGGCTATCATAAGCAGATCAACAAACAATAAGTACCGGTGAGGGTGTAAAGAAAAGGGAACCCTAGTGCACTGTTGGTGAGAATGCAGTCTGGGGCAGCTACTGTGGAAAAAGTATAGAATTTCCTGAGAAAACTAAAAATGGAACTGCTTTTTGACCCAGCAGTTCCACTTCTGGGATTATACCCTAAGAATCCTGAAACACCAATTCAAAAGAACCTATGCACCCCAATGTTCATAGCAGCACAATTTATAATAGCCAAGTGCTAGAAGCAACCTAAGTGCCCATCAGTAAATGAGTGGATCAAAAAACTGTGGTACGTTTACACAATGGAATACCATGCAGCAAAAAGAAAGAAGGAACTCCTACCCTTCACAACAGCATGGATGGAACTGGAGAGCATTATGCTAAGTGAAATAAGCCAGGCAGTAAGAGAGAAATACCATTATGATCTCACCTATATGTGGAACCTAATTAACAAAACAAACAAATGAGCAAACCATAACCAGAGACATTGAAATAAAGAACAAACTGACAATGACCAGAGGGGAGGGGGGAGGGGAATAACGGGGCAAAGAAGGGGAAGGATCGGTCATCAAGGAACATGTATAAAGGACACATGGACAAAGCCAAAGGAAGGTAGGATTGAGGGTGGGAAGTGGGGGTGGGTGGGGCAGGGGAAAGCGGTGGTGGGAAAATGGAGACAACTGAACTTGAACAACAGTAAAAAAAAATAATAATTTAAAAGGAAGCATAATTGGTACGAACAAAATAGATAAGGAGATGTTAAGAACTGTATAGGAAATGGAGTAGCCAAGGAGCTTACACACATGACCCATGGACGTAAACTAAGGGAGTGGATTGCTAGAGGGAAGGAGGGTAGTGGCAGAGGGGACAAGGGGGGAGAATTGGGATCATTGCAATAGCATAATCAATAAAATATACTTAAAAAAAAATAAAACAGATTCTCTCTCAGGCCCTCCATAAGTAATTGACCCTGCTGACACCTTGATTTTAGGCTATCTGGTGTCTAGAGCTGTAAAATAATAACTCTGTACTTCTTAAGATGAAAGAAAGAAAGGAAAAAAGGAAAGTAGAGAAAAGTAATAAAAGGAAGAAAGGAAGGGGGAAAGGAAGGAAGGAAATAGAGGGATGGAGGGACGAAGGAGCAAAAAGTACCCCCAAAAATGAGGATAGTTTAAGGAGCCTCTGGGAAAATTTCAATCATATCAACATTTGCATCATGGGGGTGCTAGGAGGAGAGAGCAAGGAATTGAAAATCTATTTGAAAAAAATAATGACTGAAAATGTCACTAACCTGTTGAGGGAAACGATTTATAAGCCCAGGAAGCATAGAGAGTCTTAAACAAGATGAACCCAAAGAGGCTCACACTAAGGCTCATTATAATTAAAATGCAAAAGGTTAGCCCTGGCCAGTGTGGCTCAGCTGGTTGGAACACTGTCCCATAGATCAAGAGGCTGTGGGTTCAATTCCAGGTCAGGGCACATGCTTAGATTCCTGATTCAGTTCCCAGTTGGGGAGTATACTAAAGGCAACTGATCGGTGTTCTCTCACATTAATGTTTCTCTCTCTCTCCCCACACCCCAAAATCAATGAACATATCCTCAGATGAGTGAGGGTCGGGGGGATAAAAGAAACTCAGCACTTGTTTATTTCCTTTGGGTTACCTATGATCTGCAGTAATCTTGTTTGTCTACTTGCTTATTGTCTTTCGTCATTAAAATGTTGAGCTCCATGAGAAAGCTTGATTTGTCTTCGACATTATTTCCCCAAACCTAGTTGTGCCTGACTGTGTTCAATGATTCATAACATTTTAAATTTTTATTTATTTTTAGAGAGAGAGAGGAAGAGGAAAAAGGAGAGAGAAACATCGATGTGCCAGAGAAACATCCATGGGTTGCCTCTCACATGCCCCCAACCAGTGGACCTGGCCCGCAACATAGGCATGTGCCCTGACTGGGAATAGAACCAGCGACTTTTCGGTTTGTGGGACAACACCCAATCCACTGAGCCACACCAATCAGGGGGGTGATCCATAACATTTATTGAATAAATGCATTTAGAAAGACACTCATGACCCCAACATAAGCAAACTACCTAAAAACAGTCATCTCTGAAAATTTCTTGTTATATAACTTCAAACTCTTACATCAGAGATTCCTTAAGAAAAAAAATAGTGCAAAACTTTCAAAGAATGGAGCATGCTTACATTCCTCTTAAATCAACTTGAGACACATAAATATTTGCTGTTCCCTGATGAATCTACTTTTCTGTGGCGGCAAAGATAATCACTGAGTCACCAACATTTCACATAGCTGTCAGATGCAGAAAAATGAATTTGGGCTGCTTTCACCCGGAGTTGTTTGTATTACTTACTTGTTCTTTGAAAATTTAAATCATTTCTTCTTTCCAGTTCTTTTGATCCACTCTCTCCCCTTCCTTTTCTCGACTGAATATTTCCTTTAGTGAGTCTACCCAATCTAGTTGGGAGTGGTTAGATGCTCTGGAATTTCTGAATCTAAGAGATCTGAGATGACATAAAATTTAAAGGAAGAATTCTGGCTCCTTCGTGAGTTCCCTCCAATTTGTCCGATGGCATCTTGAAAGTATGGGTGTGCTCCTTAGGGATGTCTTCTTGCCAACAGCAGTCCCTCTCACATCACAGTGTACGAATGACAGTGGATTTGGCCAGGGATGGGGGTAGGCCAGTTGGAGGAAAGCCTGTCTTACTTGGCATAAAATCTCAATTTCACTCCTGGTTCAAGTGGGGCAATCCTTAAAGAGCAAGAAATTCATGAAACAAATAGTCTATCAACCCTACCAGCGCCGCCAGACGAGTGGATTTCCACCTCCCACAGGAATGGGACGGCGGGGAAGGCTAAGGGTCGCGGCGCCACGCCACGCGCCTGCGCAGCCCGACCCAAGGCTCCGGCTTGCAAGTAGCGTCTTCCCGCGCCAACCTCCGTGCAACCCCAATGCGCAGGTGCAGGCGCAGGCACAGGCGCAGGGGGAGGGGTGGTCGCGTAGAGCCCCGTGGGTAGGAAGGCGCCGGCGGGCATGGCAGCAGGCAGGCTACGAGGCCTGGCAGTGGCCGGTGGAGGCGAGAGTAGCGAGAGCGACGATGATGGCTGGGAAATTGGGTATCTTGATCGGGAATCTCAGGTAGTAGAGGAGGCTTTTTCTTCACCGCATCTAAATCTCTCTCTCCTGACTCTCAAAGGCCTGGCTTCGTGAAACTTGTTACTTCCTCACCCGTTTCCCTAACTTGTTTTTCCAGTGGAAATACAGGCTTTTGGAATTTCAAACAAACCCGCAAAGTTTTCGTCTTTCCTTACTGTTCTCTCCATCAATTGCATTTCTTTAAGTTGTCAGTGTAGTAGCTCTTTACTTTACTTGGTTCGGACCCGTCCTTACCAGTTTCCGTTTAAAGATCATTTTTGACTTGAATTCCTTACAAACTTGTATGTTGCCTACCCTATCTCCGTCAAAAACAAACAAAAAATCGTTTACTGCTGTGGAAATGAAAATATGTGAAACGATTTTTTAAAACTTTGTTTTTTTAGAAATTAAAAGGACTGTTACCCACAGAAGAAAAGAATGAAACATTTAAGAAAGCATTGACCACTGGAGATACTTCGTTGGTCCAAGAGCTCCTAAATTCTGGTGAGAAATAAGGGATAGTTTCAACCCAACCGAATTGTCTATGCTCACAACTGTTTCTGATTTTAAAAGGTGTGAGTTACCTTTCTAATGGAATCGCAGTGAGTGTTAATATAGGTAGTGTCCTACATATCTTTCTTGACGCGGAGTTCTCTTTGCCTTTTCTTCCTCTGATTTAGATTGCCACCCTGTTACGTTCCATAGTTCTTCCACATCTTCAAGAGGCTTATTCTGACTAATTCTACCCCACTATGATAATTCTTCCTCACTTCGCTCAGCATTTTCTTGATATATGTTTCTCAAATATTTATTCTAGTTATGCACATTTCAGTTATGTTCTTTCCCTGTGCTGGGTGTGGGTGTGTGTGTAAAATGAGGCCTGAGATAGGAGTCAGAGTATCTGGGTATCTGTTCCATTGGCTAGTCAGTGTGGTTCCCTGGAAAAGTCATTTAAACTTGCAGAGCATAAATTTCTTCATGTGAAGCATCTTAATTCTGGCCTGGGTCCCGCAACATTTTTTCTGTGGATCAAGTTAAATGTACTAGTTTTAAAAATTACCTTGACATAGCAATGTGAGTTGTTGATAATAATGATCAACATTATCCAAATGAATAACAGTCATTTGCCATCTATTTGTAGATACAAAACATTCACACACAAAGTAGTTAAGTGATATTGTATATAGAAAAATGTTTGTCTTTTATGCTATGATAAACCATGAAGAGATGCTTCATGGTTTAGCAGAAGGTAAATCATTTTGGAAATAGTATAGTTCTGGGTTTCAGTACTAGTCCTACCGTGGATGACACTAATTTTGACCAATTACTAAACCTTCATAAGTTTCAATTTCCCCTCTTTTTAAATGGCATGCATTATATCAAAGGTATTTTTTTGGGTAGGATTAAAATGAGAAAATATATTAATAAAGTTCTTAAAACATGTAAGTATTATGTAAATGTTAGCTTTTATAACAAAAGAAGAATCTGTGTGACTGCAGACAATGGAAATTGAGTTTGTAATTGAAGGATGAAATTGGATAAAATTTGAATAATAGAGGCCTAATACTTAATATAAACACATACAGGAGTGTGCATAGTGTCGGATGTGATGGAATAGGCAGAAATTTGTTTATAAAATAGAGTTTGCCTTAGAAATAGTGGGGTAGGTGCAATGAAGTAATGGAGGCTCCTGAAGGGTGAGGACTTGAAAAGAGCCTACTAGTAAAGTAATAATTTAGTCAAACTTCTATAATTGTTTAATTACAAAATTTTTAAAAGTTAATTTAAAACAGCCAGTAATAATATATAATTATAAATAGAAAGATACCTTTCGCCCCCGTTACCTCTGAAGTCTCACTTTCACAAGCCATTCCTGTTTTAGTGTTTCCTGGTTTTCTTCCAGATGTTGTTACTTAACACTTTTTAAAGTATTTTTAATGTTACCTTTCAAAGTCATTCTTGTCTTTGATATATATTTCTGCACCAGTTAAAAAGTTTAATAAAGAAGTGAAATCTTCCTTTGAGTCAGCCACTCCACTTTTAAAAGTTCAAATGTGTCTCAGTTTTTGTTATTCTGCTATGTACTATTTTCATTTCTCTTTAAGTTATTAAGTATTTCAGACATTCAGAAAGGTACAGAGATCTCTCTCCTTCCTTCTGGTGATAACCACTTGCCTATAGTTGTTATTTATCTTTCCTTTGTGTATTGTTAGATTTTTACTTTATATGTATATATCCCAAAACAATATAGTATTATTTTGAATGTTGTTTTTGAGTTACATAAATTTATTGTGTTGCCCTGGCTGGTTTGACTCAGTTGGTTGGAACATTGTCGTGTACACCAAAAATTGCCGGTCAGGGAACACATTCTAGGTTGCGGGTTTGATCCCTGGTTGGAACATGTATGGGAGGCAACCAATTGATGGTTCTCTCTCATGTCATTTCTCTCCTTTTCTCTCACTCCCCCTTCCTCTCTGTCTCTCAAATCAGTACAGATATAATTTAAAAAATTTAAAAATATATTGGGCTAGCCAAAAAGTCTGTTTGGTTTTTTTTCTGTAAGACTACTCTAGTAGCACTGAGTTGTTTTTAACTTCATTCTAAACAATTTTATTAGATTATATTGTGACAGCTGTCATATCAGCATGCATTAAAAAAAATTAAAATTGGTGAATTATTGTGTAGCCATTTTAATGCTGAAGATGGAAAAATACACAATATTTTCAGCATGCTATGCTTTATTATATCAAGAAAGGTAAAAATGCAACTAAATGCAAAAAAAAAAGTTTGTGCAGTGTATGGAGAAGGTGCTGTGACTTATCAAGCCTGTCAAAAGTGATTTGTGAAGTTGCATGCTGGAGATTTCTTACTGGATGATGCTCAATGGTTGGGAAGACCAGTTGAAGTTGATAGCAATCAAATTAATTGAGAATAATCAACATTATACTACTCAGGAGATAGCCAGCATACTCAAAATATCCAAATCAATAAAGTTATTGATGAAAATGAAAAATGTGCTTTTTATTTTACAGAAAAATCTAAAAAGACTTTTTGGCCAACCCAATATGTATATTGTGTCAATCCTCTTAACTTCATGTTTTAATACTGTGCCCCCTGGCCTGGTGGCTCAGTTGGTTGGAGTGTTGTCCTGTGCACCAAAAGGTTGCAGTTGATCTCTGGTCAGGGCACATGTCTAAGTTGCAGGTTCAGTCCCTGGCTGGGGGCAGACAGGAGCCAATTGATGTTTCTCTCACATCAATGTCTTTCTCTCCCCCATCCTTCATCTCTCTCCAGAATCAATAAATATCACCTTGGTTGATGATTAAGAGCATAATAGATACTTTTTGGATATTAGAGGTGGTGATGATTAAGAATTTTTATACTAACATGCTGCATTTGCTTATCTTTTTCTTCACATTTTCCTTTTTATCTTTTTATGGTTTGAGCAGTAATGTCAGTAAGAAAACAATAATGAGATTTTTTTTTTCTCTGATATTCTTATGCTTTCCGCCATTTAAAGAGAAAAATTTGTTAGGGAACACAGGTTGTGCCAACAGTGTATGTACATACTAAGGAAGGTTTTATGTTGTTTTCTCTCAGTAATTATCATCACCTTATGTCAATTAAAGCTAAACAGTCAGGAATAGATTTCAACAACTTCGTGTGGATGTTTTCTTCCTCTGTGTGGATGGAACACTTTATAGCTATAAAACTAAATTAAAAGGTGTTTAAAGCAGGCTTATAGTCAGTGGTTTTCACATACAGGCATTCCTTCTTTGAAACAGAAAAACATTCTATTTTTATTCTTTTCTTCACATTAGCGAATATTTCTTAGATTGAAGAGAGAGATTGCTCCCTAAATCTTGATCTCTTTGTAGAAAAGGCTTTACATAATTTTAATAGATTGTGTCCACTGCTTCTTTGTATTTTGTTCTTATATCACATCTTCTATGCTCTTCCCCAGTCCTAGATCTAAACTTAGATCAGTTCAACCATTTTTTTCTTTTTTAATATGATCTAATCAGCCAGTGCTCTGGGATAAAATCAGATGACTCCAAGGGATTTCACTAACAACAGCTTGAGGATGTTAAGGTCAGCCACCTCAGCTGGCTCTTGTTCTTTCTAGTTTTTATATCATCCTTCCTGTTCCATTCCTGATAGTGGCTTTAAATTTTCACCCTTTTCCTCTGTCCTGATATCTCATCTAGGGCTTTTCTTATTATAACACACTGCTTGTCATTCATTTGTCTAAGGCCGAACATGATGGTCATTTTGACTTGTTCTTTTCTATCACTTCTCTTCAAAGTAATTTTAAATTCTGATGATTCCACCTTTGAAATGTTCTTTTGTATTCCATCCTCTTTCTTCCCACTGTCCTTGCTGTGACCTTTACATAGGGTTCTAGTCTCATAACTGGTCTCCCTGCCTCCTGTTCACTCTCAAGAATGGTAACTTTGTTGTCTTTATAATACAAATATAATGATGTCCATTCCTGGATCACATATACAGTTACATTCTTAACAGGGCTTTCATAATCTAACCCTAACCTCTCTTTTCAGTCTCACATTAGGACAGGCACCCATGGATAAATTTTATGTTAGAAATGAAATTAAGGAGATTTTAAGAATATACATAGCACGTACCACCTTAGAAATGTATAATATTCTTTTTTTTTAATTTTTTTATTTTTTTAGAGAGGAGGGAGAAAGAGAGGGAGAGAACTATCAATGTGAGAGAGAAACATTGACCAATTGCCTCTAGTATGTGTCCATAGTGGGGACTGGACCTGCAGCCTAGGCATGTGCCCTGAGCGGGATCGAACTGGCAACTTTTGCTTTGCCGTATGATGGCCAACCAACTGAGCCACACTGGAGAGGGCAGAAGTGTATAATATTCCAATTAAAAAGACAATTTGCCTGTGTGAAATCTTTTCCAACTCCCCTAGAGGGATATTGGTAGCATGTAAAACTTGTTATAATGTGTGTATAGCACCTTTATATAATACATAATAAAACATTTGTCAGATGAGGTTTCTTGGAACATAGCACCTACAAGTGAAAATGAAGTTAACTAAATTATTAAAGTCTAGATATAACCATTTTCCATTTTTTTGAAGACATTATTACCACGAAATTCCTTCCTATTATAAAGTACACATGGTCATGTCACATGCCCGGTACTTTTAAGCACATTAAGGTGACAGTGTTTGTGTGTGTGTGGTATGGTGGAGGCTTTTAAAAGCTTGTTTTTATTTTTGGCAGGCCTTAGCATAGATTCCAGCTTTCGATATGGATGGACTCCACTTATGTATGCTGCTAGCATTTCCAATGTAGAGCTGGTTCGGATCCTTTTGGACAGAGGTGCTAATGCAAACTTTGATAAGGGTAAGATGTTTTGAATGTTTAACATATGTGAAAATTTGCTTTGTTTATTTCTCTGTTTAGAACTATAATTATATTCTGTTAAGGGGTAGTGATACACACTTTTCATGCTCTCTTTTCATATATTCACTTTAAAATAAACCTTTGCCCATGAAAAAAAATAATAAGGGTAAGGTGTTTGACATAATGTAACTGATTATGTTTACTGTCATTTTCTTGATTCCCAAGAAGCTATTATGCAAAGTGAAAAAAATTAGTGTTAAAACCTATTTTTATAGTTATATTAAGTGAATAACATACAAAATCAAATTAGAAACCATAGAAATTTTGAAAAACTCTCTTTCCAAAGAAGTGGATTCCATTTATATTATTTTTAAAACTGATTATGTTGTTATAGATCTGTAGCTTCTATGCTAAAGGGTTTCGGTTACATTTACAAAGGGAAAATGCATTGAAAGAAAATAAAAAGCGATAATTTTGTGGAAAATTACTCGAAAATCAGCCCTTGGAATTTAAAACTTAACTCTAAATTATTCTAAACTTGTTTCAAAGATAGTTTATTAAATCCATATTTTCTTTCCTTGTTATTAAATAATTTCTACTGAGTACTTCTTTGAGTGCTTTTGAAAAATAAGAGAATATGTGCAAGTCCAGTTTAATTATTATGTTGAAAAACTGATTTTTTTTTGTTTTTAACATGTTTGAAATGAGGAATTAAATTCATTTCATAATTCAGGTATAGGTTTTATTTTCAAATTAATTTTCACATTAAGGTTGTGCCTACATTAGATATTTGTAAAACCATTTATATTTTGTTTTCTCAATATATTTTATATAAATTCCCATCTTAACAGTTTTATGTTTAATCAGCTGCTGTGATTAGTTTTTCTTTCTATTTTGTCATTTTAAAATATTACCCCATGAAAACTAAATTTAGGAACGAGATTTTTGAGTCTCAAATATAAAATATTCTGCTCAAAATATAATCATTTTCTTTCTCTGCTTCTTGTAATCAGATCAATACCTTACAGTTAGAAGAATTTTATGTTTTTCATAGAATGTTTATATAAACTCTCTTATGTATTCAACAACAGCCTCATCAAATAACAAGGGCAGTTATTAGTTTCTATCTACAGATTAGGTCTACTGAGATACTAAGGTATCACTGTAGTCACAGTTCATTAGTGGCAGAACTGGGACTAGGGTCTGTATCTTTATACTTGGCCAGTACTGAACCACTAATGTAAACCAAGGCTGCCACAACCTGTTTTGAATTTCCCAATTTTTACTGAAGAAGTTTTTGTTTTTGTTTTTTAAATCTACCCTGATCTCTGCTGATGTTGTAGGAACCAAGGGAAAAAGCATTTCAGTAAATAGGGTGCGCTCAGAGAGATCAAGTAGAAGAAGATTGAGAAAATCACTTTCAGTAGGATGATTTGGGCATAAGGCAGATTTCAGTGAGTTTTCAAATGAATGGGAAGTAAAGGAGTGAAATCAGAGAGTAGAAATCATTGTTTTTCAACATGGGTGTGCAACAAGACAAATTTTAATCAATCAAAAAGTGTTCAACTCTGGGCGGTATTTTACACAGAATTCATGCTCTTAACTACTTTACTATTCTCTTGAAATGGGAATAGGGAAGGGAAATTAAGAAGTGAATTATAGATATAATTTGGCGATTAAGGCAATTAATCCCTAATCTCATTTTTTGATAAGGGAAGACATAAGGTTACCTACTAAGATAAAGAGATTTGGGAATAGGTTGTAGAATTTTAAAAGTACATTAATTTTTATTACCTTTTGAATGATAAAAGAAGTCAGTTAGATACACTTATTGATGGAGGGGTTTTCTCATTTTTTTTATTGACTATAGATAAGCAAACTATTTTGATAACCGCATGTTCAGCTCGTGGCTCAGAGGAACAGATCTTGAAGTGTGTAGAGCTACTACTTTCAAGAAATGCTGATCCAAATGTTGCTTGTAGGTAAGAGCCTTACTATCTGTTCAAAATGATGTATATTTTATTTGATTATCAGCATTTAAAAATTTGGTAGCATGATTTTTTAAAAATTATAAATGTGTATTTACTTGGTCATATAGTTCATGAATGGAAATAGGTCTAAAGGTCATGATTCCAATTGTAAAAGGTTATCAGAGAAAGGGTGTATTATGAGGTCATCTTTTAGTTTTTTAATTTTTTGAACAATGACCTAAGAATTTGAAATGAAAGGAAGACAGTAAACTGTATCATTTTCTGTGAATCATATACTCAAAAGAATATGATTGAGCCATAGTAGTAAGCCTCTTAGTGTTCTAACACATAAGCTCACTTAACAATTTTATACAAATGCTTAAGTGTATATCCAAAATGATAAATCATAATATTTTCATTTTCCTACAACTTTTCCAATTAATTATATCATATATGTAATAGTGCCTAGATGCATAGAAAACAAATAGTAAATATACCTTGCGTCTTTTGAAATGTCAGTCATTTTTTAAAAGTGACTCAGGTTACTTAAAATTTCTATCATTGACTTCCTTCTTCTCTGTCTCCATTTTCCTGTTAAGTCTTTTTCTATTTAATAATCAAAATGAAGAGAGGGAAATAGCCCATCCAACAGAAATATGGCTAGCATAAGTAGAATAATTATTCATAATTTATTAATTCAAATAATGATCTAGTGCCTAAAATATACAAATAAATATGCTTGACTAGAACTATTTTTCTTTATTTAAAATTTAATGTCTAGTGTATTTTTTCCATTAGCATTTAGTTCCCTTATACGTCCCTCCCCCTAGCAATCATCACACTGTTGTCCATGTCCATGAGTTGTTTTTCTTTTTCCCCCAATCCCTAAACCCACTACTACCCCCACTTAGCTGTCATTCTGCTTTCCATCTATCAGTTTGTCCCCATTTTCCTTGTTAGTTCAGTTTGTTCATTAGATTCCACATATGAGTGAAATCATACAGTATTTGTCTTTCTCTGACTGGTGTACTTCACTTAGCATAATGTTCTCCAGGTCCACCCATACTATTGCAAAGAATAAAATTTTCTTCTCTCTTTTTTGTAAGTTAATTTATTTCTTTTCTTTTTTTGTAATTTTTCAAATGCATTTGTCTCCATTTACCTGCCACCACTTCCCCCCTCCCCACCCACCCCCACCTCCCCACCTCAATCCTTCCCTACCTTGGCTTTGTCCATGTGTCCTTCATACCTGTTCCTTGCTCTGACCTTTCCCCTTCCCCTTCCCTCTAACCCCCTCCCTCCCTTTTTCCCTCCCTCTCATCCCTGTCAGTTTCTTCTTTCTTTCAATGTTGCTGGTCATATTTTCCTTGCCTGCTTGCTTTGCTGATTAGGTTCCACTTATAGGTGAGATCATATGGTATTTGTCTTTCACTGCCGCCTGGCTTATTTCACTTAGCATATGCTCTCCAGTCCCATCCAGGCTGTTCATGAAGGGTAGTAGCTCTTTCTTTCTGCTGTGTAGTATTCCACTGTGAAAATGTACCATAGTTTTTTGATCCAATAATTTACTGATGGGCACTTAGGTTGCTCCCAGCACTTGGATATTGTAAATTGTGCTGTTATGAACATTGGGGTGCATAGGTTCTTTTGAATTGGCATTTTGGGATTCTTAGGGTATAATCCCAGCAGTGGAATCGATGGGTCAAAAGGCAGTTTGGTTCCATTTTAGCTTTTTGAGGAAATTCCAAAGTTTTCCACAGTGGCTGCACCAGTCCGCATTCCTGCCACCAATGTACTGGGGTTCCCTTTTCTCCACAACCTTGCCAGCATCCGTTGTTTATTTGTTTATGATGGCCATTCTGACTAGTGTGAAGTGGTATATCATTGTGGTTTTCATTTGCATTTCTCTGATGGCTAGTGATGAGGAGCAACCTTTCATATGTCTCTGGGCCCTGTGTATGTCCTCCTTGTAGAAGTGTCTGTTCAGTCTCCATTGACCATTTTTTAATTGGATTGTCTGTTTTCCTGAAGTGGATTCATGTGAGTTCTTTATATATTTTGGAGATCAAACACCTGCCTGAGGTATCATTAGCAAATATATTTTCCCATACTGTTGGTTCCCTTTTCATGTTGCTGATGTCTTCTTTAGCCGTGCAGAAGCTTCTTATTTTGATGAAGTCCCATCTTCATCAAAGTCCCATGATGTTTATTTTTTCCTTTATGTCCCTTGATCTAGGGGACATATTGGTTAAAATATTGCTGTGTGGAATATCTGAGAGTTTCCTGCCTATGTTCTCTAGGATTATTATGGCATCATGATTTAAATTTAAGTCTTTTAGCGATCTTGAGTTTATTTTTGTGTATGGTGTAAGTTGGTGGTCGAATTTCAACTTTTTGCATGTAGCTGTCCAGCTCTACCAGCACCATTTGTTGAAGAGGCTATTTTTACTTCATTTTAAGTTTCTGTACCCTTCGTCGAATATTAATTGACCATAGAGACATGGGTTTATTTCTGGACTCTCTGTTCTGTTCTATTGATCTATGTGTCTGTTCTTATGCCAGAACCAGACTGTTTTGATTACAGTGGCCTTGTAATATAGTTTGATGTCAGGTATTGTGATCCCTACTACTTTGTTCTTCTTTCTCAAAATTGCTGCAGCTAATCAGGGTCGTTTATGGTTCCATACAAATTTTTGAAATGTCTGTGAAATATGTCATTGGTATTTTAATAGGGATTGCATTGAATCTATAAATTGCTTTGGGTACTATGGACATTTTGATGATAATTCTTCCAATTCCTGAACATAGTATATGCTTCCGTTTATTTGTATCTTCCTTAATTCCTTTCTTCAGTGTTGAATAGTTTTCTGCATACAGGTCTTTTACCTCCTTGGTTAAGTTTAGTCCAAGGTACATTATTTTTCATGTTGCTATAGCAAAGAGGATTTTTTCCTTGATTTCTGCTTCTGCTATTTCATTTTTTATATAAAAAAATGCCTTCAATTTCTGAATATTGACTTTGTATACTGCTGTTTTGCAAAATTCACTTATTAGGTCAAGTAGATTTTTGGTGGAGTCTATGGGGTTTTCTTTGTACACTATCATGTCACCTGCAAACAATGATAGTTTTACTTCCTCCTTTCCAATTTGGATGCCTTTTATTTCTTTTTCTTGTCTGATCACTGTGGCTAGGACTTCCAATACTATGTTGAATAGAAGTGCTGAAAGTGGACATCCTTGTTTTGTTACCAGTCTTAGAGGGAAAGCTTTTAGTTTTTGCCCATTGAGTATGAGGTTTGCTATATATTTTTCATATATGCCTTTATTATGTTGAGGTAGTCCTGCTTAATTCCCACTTTGCAGTGTGTTTTTATCATAAGTGGGTGCTGTACTTTATAAATGCCTTTCCCTTATGTATTGATATGATCATGTGGTTTTTGTCTTTCCTTTTGTTTATGTGATGTATTACATTTATTCATTTGCAAATATTGAACCATCCTTGCATCCCTGGGATGAATCCCACTTGATCATGGTGGATGATCTTTTTAATGCATTGCTGGATGCGGTTTGCCAATATTTTGTTGAGGATTTTAGCATCTATGTTTATCAACAATATTGGCCAGAAGTTTTCTTTCTTTTTTGTGTCTTTATTTGGTTTTGGGATTAGGATGATGCTGGCCTCATCAAAAGAGTTTGGGAGTCTTCCCTCCTCTTGGATTTTTTGGAATAGTCTGAGAAAAACAGGGATTAGCTCTTCCTTATATGTTTTGTAAAATTCTCCTGTGAAACCATCCGGTCAAGGACTTTTGTGTGCTGGGAGTTTTTTGATTACTGCTTCAATTTCACCACCTGTTATCGGTCTGTTCAAGCTTTCTGCTTCTTCTTCTATTTAGTGTTGGAAGGTTATATTTTTCTAGAAATTTGTCCATTTCACCCAGGTTTTCAAATTTCTTGACATATTATTTTTCATAGTAATTTCTTACAATCCTTTGTATTTCTGTGGTATCAGTTGTTATTTCTCCTCCTTCATTTCTGATATTATTTATTTGGGTACTCTCCATTTTTTTCTTGGTGAGTCTGTTTAAAGGCATGTCAATTTTCTTTGTCTTTTCAAAGAACCAACTCCTGGATTGGTTCATCCTTCGAATTGTGCTCTTAGTTTCTCTGTTCAGTTCTGCTCTGATCTTGATTATTTCCTTTCTTCTACTTGCTCTGGGCTTTGTTTGTTTTTGTTTCTCCCATTCTTGAAGCTGGAGGGTTAGGTCATTTATTTGAAATGTTTCTATCTTTTTTAGGTAGGCCTATACTGCTATGAACTGCCCTCTCAGGACTGCCTTCGCTGTGTCCCATAGGTTTTAGACTGTTGTATGTTCATTTTCATTTGTTTCCAGAAACTTTTTGATTTCTTCTTTGATCTTATTATTGACCCATTCATTGTTTAATAGCATGCTATTCAGTCCCCATGAGTTGGAATGTTTTTGAGTTTTTTTCCTTGAGGTTGGTTTCTAGTTTCAAGCCTTTGTAGTCTGAAAAAAATGCTTGTTATGATTTCGATTTTCTTGAATTTGTTGAGGCTTGTTTTTGTGTCCTATCATGTGGTCTATCTTTGAAAATGTTCCGGGTGCATTTGAAAAGAATGTATATTTTGCTTGTTTGAGATGAAAGATTCTATATGTATATCAGTTAAGTCCATTTGATCTAATGTGTTGTTCAGTTCCACAATATCCTTGTCGATCTTTTGTTTGGAAGATCTATTTTTGACAGTGGGGTGTTAAAATCCCCTACTGTCAGTGTGTTGCTGTCTGTATCTTGAAGTCCTTCAAGATTTTCCTTATATATTTGGGTGCTCCTATATTGGGTGCATATAAGATTACAATGTTTATATCTTCTTGATAGATTCTTCCTTCTAGTATTATGAAGTGTCTTTCTGTGTCTCTTTTTATGGCCTTTGTTTTGAAACTTATTTTGTCTGAAAAAAGTGTAGGTCCTTTGTTCTGAGGTGGGTCTCTTGT